TTTAAAAAAAAAAAAAAAAGAATGGATCTAGATGCCTTCATTATATTCTTCAAATGTCAGTCGACTGCCCTCAGCATCATGTTCCTGCCTTTGCAGATTACTGATCAGTATGGAGTTTGGAGTAAGAGTATATGCTTACACTTTTAAATGTGAATGGGTGAATAACTTAAATGTGACTGAGAGTTGTGCCTTTATATTCCTTTGTTATGTTCTATTTCCACATCTAGGGTCTGAGAGACCCTGGATATATTCTGGGAATCCAAGAATCTCTGTAAGAATTTCGTAAATATATGCTATCATTTTAATGATAATAAAAAGTAATAGATGTCAACCTACTCTCAATCATCTAGACAACCATCTTATATCACATATTGCATAGAATTTTGGTGCCTGTATTCGAGTTCTGTTTATGTTGATGTTGCTAAGTGATACCATGTAGACTTTAAAAAAAGGACCAATGAAGAGAATTTAAATGATGCAAAACACTTTATTCAGTGCTTCATGAAGTAGATCGTCTCCTTTTGGAGCACTGATGAAAGTCACATAGTCAACCTTGTTTGGGTTGAGAAGGATCAAGAAAATAAGTAGAGTACATATTTATCTTCATTTTTGGGAGTTGGCTGCCTGAATATATTGTTACTTTGTCCATTGAAACATTTTTTAAGGCAATGAAAGTCTGGTGTGTTGTTGACGGTTCCAGACAGGAGTGGCTCTATCCTGGGCTTAGAAAGTTATTTCAACAGACACTTACCAGCCTCCAAGAAAGGAACAGAGGCAGACTTGATAGATATTCTTCTCAATTGCCAAACAAAGTGTGTCCTGGCATGCTGTACAAAGGATGCCTTTGTGGCAGTTCAAATAGAGAAAAGTGGCAACTGACTAAATCAGTTGGGACGCATAGTAATACAGCTTTCCCAAGTACAGAACTATTGTTCCTCAATAGTCCCATGTCATGGTGCTTTAGCAGAGCCATGCTAATATTAGTTCATTAATATGATTGCTTTGAAATCTTTTAGTTTTTTAAAATCAATTTAATTTACACATATTGATTTTAGAGTTGCATTTGACCTGGAGGCATCAAGGAGTTTAATATCTGATTTTATATATACTTTTATAACTTTCCTCCTGTACAATTTTTTAGCCAGTGAAATGATTTAGAACAATTCTAGTTGTGTCCCATCCATAGAAAATGTAATGATGTTCTGTAGCAGAATTTCTTAATTGTTTTTATGCCAAGTACTCCTTTGGCAATCTGGTGAACACTACAGGTCCCTTTTTAGAATGATTTAGTGCTGAAAATAAAATTACATAGAATCACAAAGGAAGGCAATTTTATTAAAATTCAATTATTCAAATATTAGAAATATAACATGCTTATTTACTAGCATATTCAAATCATATCTAACAATAGGTCAGTGACTAATTCTGTAATAAGGATAAGAATAAATAATGTTTTGGAATGTCTGCAATAACTACGTCGATATGAAAATAACTGATTTTAAATTTGGTTTTATATAATTGTTGCCTACGTCGGTACTTTAGTTATTACATTTCATAATATTAAAATTAATAACTAAATTCAAATTATTAAATTACTTTTAATAAAAGTCTTATCTCATTGGTGGTTAATGGAAATAGAGATACTTTTTTTTCTGCCATACAATTTCATAGACAATGTAAATTCTATGGTTGGATCCATTGGAGTCTTTGGATTCTGATAAAGGATATATACTCTAGAAGAAAGGAATATTTGGGGGTTAAACTTGAGTGAATCTGAGTCTGTCTAAGCTGTTTCATTAGGAATAGGCTATTCAAAAATTTACTGTAGTCGTGGTTCTGGACATCATCCTTTCTTCTGCTGGACACCCGTGCTAGCCAAATGCTCAAGTTCCATTGGTTGACTCTCCTGTATATTGAGCTAAATTTTTAAAGAACATGAGCTTCAAATTGGGTTTCTGGGTAACATCAACATGTACTGAAGGATGAGTGAAGCATTTAAATAATTGCATGCTTGTCTGGTTAGTGTGGTAGCATTCTAGTAAAGACACACAATTCTTGGGAGAGTAAGAAAGGAAACTCAACTGTAGGAATAGTTGCTCTCTCTTTTTTCCCCGAGCTCCTCTTTCCTTCCTCCTCATTGCATCTTTAGATGACTCTGTCCTGGGATGTATTGGGTTCCTCCCAGAGAGAGCAACCTCAATCATTCATGGAGCCAAGCTTTTGAAAGGGATAATGGAAAATTGCCTGTTTCACTCTCCTTTGGCTACAGTCCCACTCATCCCCTTTCAGAGATTTCTGATTAAGACTTTCTGACCCTCCTGCAAATAAATGCGACAATATCCCATAAGTGACATGTGTCCCAAAGGGAATGTACCTGTGACACATTAGTACAGCAAGTGCGAGTCAGTTAAGTCATCATGTCAACAAGCCTCATGGCTCAACATTTTCCCCTCCAGCTTCCTTTTCAATTTCCTCTTCAGGAAGAACAACTCTTGATCCACATAGAGAAAAAACCAGTAGCATGCTGATAATAGCATTGCGAAAACGGACACAGTCAAACTCAAGGACAAAATTTCAAAGCCAAGTTTCAAATAAAAGTGAAATACTAAACCAATCTAAACCTGTGTATTACTTTACATCAGAGAACATCGGCACTGGTCTGTACAATTTTGTGCTGAGAACAAAACACCCAGCAGTAGGAATCTGTTTGTTGTTACTTGTGCCGTTGGAGAATATACCTTTTCACTGTAGTTGAAACGTGTATGATAATGAGTTTTCCAAGCCAAAACTTTGCACTGACATTCACATTTCATGCAAGCCACTCACTGTCTTTTAGTGTTACACATTTTATTCTTCTATTTGCTGCTTTTCATCATCAACTTAATATTTTCATGTGGTGCTTGAACTGATCCAACTTACAGTATTTGTTTATAATTATATTTACTGGTGTAAACTCATGCTGGTGGATGTATACTCTTTCAAGCTTTATGAGAGACCTCAATTTCTAAGAGTCTAGGGTAATATTCTGGAAAGCACCTTCATTAGTAGCAGTTTAGGGAACAAAACTCTGGGATTTGGTTTGCACACTGTAAAGATGAGTCAGAAATTGTGTCCCTATGTAACTAGTTTGTCTAGTGACTGACTACCTTGAGACATAAACATATTATTTATAAACAGAATTTCTGAAGAGAGGTTCAGAAACAGAAGAAAGTGTGATCCATTCTACTCTTTCTTTAAAAGAGAAGATTGGTAACTCATAACATTTTTATGCTATAATAATTGCCTCAATTGTAACTGGTATATCAGATATAGATACTAAATATTCCCAACCTAACTGGTTACCACTGAGGATGTGTAACCTATTGTTGATTCATTGCTTTCTTAGAGAATATTTAGTTTTTTTCTAGTTTTGAAGAAGCAACTCAACTACTAGAGTACAAAAACATCCCTAAAGTTTTTTTTTTTATGATGAATAAGTAAATGTACAATGTTTAAAATCAAATAGTATCTTTGAGTGATACAGTAGAAAAGAATAAGCTAAGGAATCAGACTGGTTTGAATTTCCAAAACTATATATCTCCATGGCCTTGAATACTTCCTTATTCTCATTGCATCTATCTGTAAATGAGAATAAAAAGTGCTTTTTTATCAACATTTGGAATGGCTAAGCAAGGTGCTAGATATAAAGTAACTATTGAGCATCTAATCTAGAAGATACTCAAGGATCATTTATCCTTTAAATTTCTTTATTTCACATAAAACAGTAAGAGGGAATGAAATTTAAAATAGATTTCATATTAGGAGACATTGGATAAGTACTAATGGTTCATTTAAGCTTTTACTCTAAAGTAAACTCATCTGATCTTATCTTCTCAAAGTCATGTGTTTGAATTGCTGAAGATACCAGTGTTGATAAAATATCAGTTGAACATCAATATTATGATGTAATAAATTTATATGCTAAAAACTTGTTATTGGATCACATCTTACTAGCATTCTATGAGATTAAATAGTCTTATGAAGACTCTCATATAGCTAAGTTTTCTGTTGTTTGTTTCATAATATTTTATTAAAATTTATATATATTTAAGTATGTTTAATGAGGTTCCACTGCTTTACAACATTGTATATATTTTAGGGGTAAAGGTGCACACCTCTATAAATGTATAGTTATCACACTACACATTTAGTACATTTATCCATACAGCTCCTTCAAACAATGCCAATAATTCCCACACATTTGCTGAGGACATTCGTGCTGTTGCTTTGGGAATATTAGTAGCCTGATTTTATTATGCTCACACACACATGTACATGTATGTGTGTGTGTATCTGACTATAAGACTATAATTACTCTTACAGAATATATTTTCCCTTATGAACACATTAACCTATATCAAATGTGTTTGTGACAAATATAGTTGTGGTGTACTGTTCTTAACAGAGCTATTTTGTGTTCCTAGGTACCTGCATGAATATAACACACAGCCAATGTCAGATGCTGCCTTACAACACCACACTAACATCTGTCTTATCAACTGTCAAAAACCTGGAAATGGAGAAGTTCCTCAAGTTCTTCATGTACCTCCATCGCCTCGGTTGCTATCAACATATCTTGCTTTTTGGCTGTAGCCTGGCCTTCCCTGAGTGCATCAGCGATGGTGATGAAAGGTATTTTGGATCCCAGTTCATTCAATGATAACAGGCACTTATAGTCTCTGAGAAGAACATAGTCTTCCCTAGCTACCACCTTTTGTTTTTGTAGTTGTTAAAGAAGAAACCTAAGCCAGTCAGACTCAGTTGTAATTTCTTTTCATTGGAATTTTTTTTTTCAAAACCCAGAATAATATTATGATCAGGAAAAGTTATTCAGTGTGTTTGATTGATGCTATCAGCTGGGCAGTTCAATAACTGTTTCAGTGAGTACGTGGCAGAAGCCTCACTCAAAGGAGCGATTGAAAGGAGTCATTGAAAAGACTTTTTATGGAGGTGAGGACAGGGTTCAGAAAACCTGTAGCTACTAGATGGGAGGCACCAGCATCTTTTGCTAGAAGGATGCAACTCCGCCACTCAAGACTTCAAGGAGAGAAGGACTGAACAGAATCTGAGAGAGTCATACCTATGGGTAGAGGTCTTCTGACAGGCCAACTGCCACAAGAGCAGGCAAAGGAGCCCTGACCAGCCCTTCAGTCCCACAGGGAAAGAAAAGGAGCAGCACATGCCTGACTTTGCTTCCCTTGCTCCTCCTTCTCCTCTGACCTCCCTCCAACTGAACTCACCCTCAACCACTGGGCAAAAGCATTCACTTAATGTGGGCACCAGCCAATAGACAAGATTCCAGATCTCATTGTCCCCAATTCTGTCGTTTAAGTCAGGTGTGGGTGAGATGCTTGTTTTTTGTTTTTTAAGATTTATTTATTTCTGCATACAGAACTGGGGTACAGGCCAGAGGTGCAGGGGCGGTGAGAGAATTCACCAGAGATAGAGTGGGGAGCAGAACAGGCAGATAGAAGGACACTGCTGAGGAGAGCAGCAGGATGGTCAGGAGAGGTCTGCAGTACCATATGGATCACCTCCCTGGCCAGGATCAGACTTATGTGGAAGTGACTTCAGCTTCTTAGTACAGTGCTTTAACCCGCTGCGCCACCAGGGAGGGCCTGCTTATTGTTTTTTATGGTTGCCATTGGACTCAGAACAGTGTGAAGTGTAGGTAGGTGCAGAATGAAAACCAGAGACGTTATTAAGAGAGATTAGAAATGGTTTTCTTTTTTCTTGAGGAGTAGGAGGGAACATATGAGTGTGTTTGTGTAGGTGTCTTGTAAGTGCATCTCTTTTTTAAATTGAAATATATTTGACATAATATTGTATTAGTTTCAAGTGTAAAACAGAATGACTAGTATATTTAAAAGTGAACACCATAGTAAATAGTTAATATATGTCACCACAGAAATACATTTTTTCTTGTAATATTTTTTAAGATCCACTTCAATATATAAAATGCACTTCCAAGAGAACATTATTAACTGTAATAGTCATATCCCCTTGGCATTTATTTTATAACTGGAAAATAGTTCCCTCACTTTATTGACATAATACTTTTCAATAAGCAAATCAATGAAAAGGATGTCATGGGATATATGAGTTACCAAGTATCCATTAAAAATTTTCAAAATGTGGCAAATAATAATTATGCATGACATCAATCTTTTTCTGAATTAAAATGTTAGGAAGTTTTCCAAACTGGAACTCTGTTGTTTGTACTTACCTAATTAGTGTGTAAAGTATATTTTGAATAAAGCAAAGGGATTCATTATTTTAACTGGGAAAAACCTGCACTGCCATAGAATAAAAACTGTATCGAAGACAAACAATAGATTTTAAGCTATAGAAGGAAGACATAGCATTCAGGGATACATTTCACCAGAAAGAAACATCTGCAGAGGGTGCTTTTGTTGTAAAAGAGAAGCTCTGTTAGATACTTCCCAGGAATGAAACTCTGGGATGGTAGTAAAGAAACCTTTGTACTCCTAGAATAGTGGCAGTATACCAGCACAGGGTGGTTGATTCATTTTCTAGGGTTGCCATACAAATTATGACAAATGGGTGACCTAAACAACAGAAATCTGTTCTCTTACGGTTCTGCAAGTGGAAATCCAAACTCTGGCAGGGCTGTGCTCTCTCTGGACTTGCAGAGGAAGTCATTTCCTTCTTTGCCAGCTTCAGGCATTCCTTGACTTGTGACTCCATCACTCCTGTCTGTCTCTGTGTATCTGTATCTGTCTCTTATGAGAATACTTGTCATTGGCTTCTGGTCCTGATTACCCAAGGTGATCTCAACATCTTCATAGCTTAATTACACCACAAAGACTTGTTTCCCATATAAATTCATCATCAGAGTTAGCAAAGGTTAGGACAATGAACATTTGGGGGGGGGTACCATTTAACATACTGCCGCGGCTGAGGGCCTTATGTCTGTGGCCCTCTTGTCTGTGAAGTGGAGGTAACAGTTGTACTAACTTGACAAAGTTCAGTGAAGATTGAATGAATGAGGGGGCTTTGGCTGGGTTTGGCTTTTACAAAGAGCTCAATAAATGTCATCAAATAGTAGATTGAAAAGGAGAATTAGTACAACTGAAGCTGAGAACACAGAGTAGTTCTAAAAACTGCTGAGTATTGAGTGGTTGCAGAACAATTGTACGGTCCTAGATGGATTTAAAGAAAATTGGTTAAAATACTCAAGGTTGCTGGAGCTGGATTTTAGTTTTATTTCTCCTTAATTTCAAGCAATTGTGTTTACATCTCTTGTTTTAAATTTTCTTTGGACTAGTGAGTGCATAAATAAGACAAAGGAAGAGAGTGTATTCAATTTCCAGGAGGATCTTAATTTATTTGATCATTCTTATTATAATTCAATCTTTACTTTCAGTTAAAATAAATGTAAAATTGATTACTGTTAGTTATGTTAAGCAAACTAGTTAAATTACTGAAAGTCTTTAGGGTACTTTTAGGTATCATTTGTTTTTCTTCTGACCTAGTTCATCCTGAGGAATATTCTCATGTGAGAGTTTTCTATTTCTGTTATAATGGCTAATAATACATAGTCAGTTTTTAGCTATACTTTGGGGACTTATCCTATTTTTTATTATTAAATCTATTCTATTTCATTTTATAATTGCACTTCTAACCAGTATTTCCTACTGTCATTTAGAATGTATCTGGAACCTTTAAGCTAAATTGAATAAAGTAAGTTCAGAAGTAAAACATATTGTAGAAAATATAAAGTCCAACTTTTTTTATATTTCACTACTGTGGATCACCAATTGTACTAATTTTCTCCACTTTCAAATGATGAGAATTACTTATAGTCCATTCTAAAGAAAATAGTTACTTAATAACATTTAAAATGCAATTAAAAATATGATGGGATTATAAATGCTATAGTTTGTAAGGTGATTCCTTTGAGATCTCAGACAATCATTAACTATATTATATAATAATGCACACTAGATGACACCACTCCCCCTGTCTCTACTTAATCAAAGGCCTTTCCTAGAGTTACATTCCTTGCCAGATTAATATACACATGAAGTTTGATTTATGTGTGAACTTTCAGAACATACAATACTAAACAATGCACAACTCTAGTCAACATATTTTTGCGCTCGTGTTGACATAGACATTACGAGTGTTCTTTAAATGAATTTTATTCATTTCCTTATACATTCCAACAAGTAGTTGAGTGCTGAGTTTAAATTAAATTCCAAAGTATCTGAATTCCTTGCCATGACTTTGAAGGTTTCCTTGCTTCTCTATTATCATCAACATTGCCCTAATTTTACTGACTGTTCCATTTCTCTAACGTGTCCACCTCTTTCCCACATGCCATTCTTTTGCTTGGAAGGATCTATGCCCTCTGCTCAAGAGCCATCTCCACAGAGAAATCTTCCTTGATTACCATGGTTACCTCTCCTACAGCCTTTCACCACAATGTGGTTGTACCCCCACATTGTCTATGGGTTATCTATCTTACTTGGCAAATTCCACAGTGATAGAGAACTTGTTGGCTTTGTACATTATTGTATACTCAGTTTTTAGCACAGTGCCCAACACAGACAAGGCACTCAACTGTTTGTTGGAATGTATAAAGGAATGAATAAAATTCATTTAAAGAATACTCCTAAATCCCTACATAAACACGAGCTCAAACATATGTTCATTAGAGTTGTGCATTGTTTAGTAGAGTATGCCCTGAAAGTTAACACATAAATCAAATTTCATATGTATATTAAATAAATTATAAGTTTAAAGTGAGTTTGGTGACATTCCCAGAGTTCACGTAGCTTCCTTCTGATAGAACATCAATTGATGGAACAGCCAGCTAAGATCCATTACTTTGCTCTTCTCCATTGCTGTCAGTATTCTGGACATAACAGAGGAACAATAGATTATTCTTGAGGACTGACTGGTGCAGTGCTTTCTTGTTAATATTGACTTAAAACATCAGTTAAAAAAATCTGCTGTGACAGGAACTTTGTTGCTGCTTCATGGTGTGAACGTGGTGAGGAACACAGCAGTCGTGGAGCAGGTTGCAAGGCAGACATTGTTGTGCCATTTACTGACATCTTACAGGATAGTAAAAGCTGATTATACCACAATGGTATGAGGAATAGGGTCCGGAGGGTGTGATAGGAATGGAGGACAAATTTTACAAGAGACAGAGAAGGGCACATTGTGATCACATATCAAGAGACACTTATGGGCCCTCCTTGGTGGCACAGTGGGTTAAAGCACAACATTATGAAGTTATTCGAAGCCACTGCAGCACGAGTTCGATCCCTGGCCAGAGAAGTGACCCACATGGTGCAGCAGACCTCTCCTGACCCGCCCACTGCTCCCTTCAGCAGTGTATTTCAGTGAATCTATCTGTTCTGCCCCCCACTCTGTCTATGGTGAACACTTTCACCCCTCTTACACCTCCCCCTGCACCTCTGGCCTGTACTCCAGGTCTTGTATGCATAAATAAGTAAATGTTTAAAAAAAAACCCAGAGACATTTGCGTCAGCAAAATATGATGTTATCACCCCAGGCAGAGTTATGTATGCCAAGAATGCTGTGGAGATAGTCACATAATGAGATCAATAGCAGCCTAGGTATCCCTGGGCCTGTCCTGT